GGGAAAGAGAGGAACGGAGCACGTACGAATCGATCGCTTGCGAGAGATGGATGAGATAGGGACACAGAGGGATGGGACCCCGAGCTAAATTAAAGGGCGTCGCGACGGACACGAAGGCGGATGTGCCTCGAGAGTAAAACAGAACTGCGTGAGGGAGGAGGGGTTGAGATAGGTGACTGACTCGTTGCGTGAGGTAGGTGAGAGAGAGAGAGCGAAGGGTGGTTCCGCGGATCAAAGCGCGTGGCTCTGTTCTCGGTTGACGGCGATAGAGATGGAAAGCGAGATTCGCGGTGAATTTCAATGTGTTGCGCGATTCGTGCTCGGAAAGCTATTTTCGGGGCCCGTGGAACGAGACGATGGGAATTGACGCAGGAATCGACGCGACGACGAGCTCGACGAGCTGATAGAAATTTGCAGATGTAGTTGTGCGAGTGTTTTTTAATTTTTTCATTCCCCAAACTTTATTTTGAATATATGTTTATTACGAGAATAAATTATTAAAAATCAAATATATAATGAAAAAACGTGGATAAAAATAAGCATTCCTGTGTAGAAAAGCATCAGAATTTCTCATTCGGGAAAATTCAAATCATAAATAAAATATAAATAATTCTATTATTTAATTATTTATCCAAGATTTTGTCAAATTCTTAGGATTTTATTTTAATAATCCAATAAACCAAAGTTAGTACGTTTAAGAGATTTAAATTTATTTTATATCTGATTTTAAGTATCTAAATTCAGAAGTAAATTTAAATTCAGACTAATTCGAATAATAGAATAATTGATTATATATATATATATATCTCTATTAGTATCCGTAATATGAAAAAAGTGATTGAATTTATCATTCGTTTAGACTTACCAATTTCCTTATTATTTTCTTGTAGTAAATCCGTAGTATGCACACCGGTAGTATATTGCCCGAAATAAAAGTTAACGAACTTCGAAAGAAACAAGAAATACGTAGCAAAAAATACAATTGTTAATAAAACGGTTGCAAAGGAGAAAAAAACAAAAGGTAAAAAACAAGAAACAGAAAACAAAGAGCACATTGTAGAATAGGCTTAAAATAGCGAATTTATGTTTTTGAAGCAATGAATTTGTGTTTTTAAAGCAGTGAATTTGTATAATTAATGCAGAACGTATAGCGGTATATGAATCGGGATAACAGATATCTTAATCTCTAAAGTTTCCAACTTTAACGCTTAACTCGATAACTCGATTCACGAAGCTGACCGCCGTGGTTTTTTTTTATCAAATTCTTTCGTTTTGAATGAAAATGCGTCGAATGAATATATTTTTATTAAAATTTCAGATGGAGTGGAATATTCTAAATAATTACCGAAATATGTTTGGTAAATGGCGTTTCACAGTTGGTGGATAAGCGTTTCACAGTTGATAACCCTTGTCTCCACCACGCGATATCCACAGAGAGAATGAAGATTTAGAGAGACATCGTTCAATTGCACACACTATGTTATTCCTTCCACCATGATCGGTATTACCGATCGCCATTAGTTTTAATTTGGACACATTCCGCTATGCGGCGTAGCTTTTGGTCGTGCAGATCGCGCACCAATCAATTGTAACATTATTTGACCGCCTCGTCATCGTCTTGCCAATGCGCGTGCGTGGTGGAACACGACAGAGAGCGCAGCTCTGATTGGCCGCTTGAGTTATTTTGAAGGAGACGGGGCGCCGCGTTTTTTGTATAGTCGCCCGGTTCGCTCGGCAAACGTGTACTGTGTAGAGTCTCAAGATCATTTGAGGTGGATATGCATTGGCCCGAGTGTCGATATCTGCGCGAAATTGGTGCGAAAGAAGGTGACTTCGGGGACATCAATCTTATAATCGGAAAACCAAGGGGCATAATAAGAAGAAGAAGAAGAAGAAGAATATACAAGCGATTGCATGTAAGTACATATACAAAATGAGGTTCATAATCGTACTGTTGCACTTGGGTTTCGATGTTCCAACAGTACAATTTTTGGCTACGTTTTTGGTTCCGTTTTATGCATGATGCGCGTGAGGCATCATTTATCCTTGTATTCACCGAATGTTAAACAAGGATAAAGGATGTATCACGCGCATCATACGTGAAACGGAACGGAACGCAGCCATCGAAGTCGTGCGCCCCTTTGTAGGAGGGGCGGGGGAGTGAGAGTCGCTTCGCGTGGGAAATTTGGCTGCGTTTCATGTATGATGCGCGTGATGCATCATTTATCCTTAATTTTATGTTAATGAATATTAACTTAGAATATTTTTTTTTTTTTAGAAAGCAGAAGAGAGGAAAGCCAGTATTTTGAGTGGTGATTGGTATCTATCAATTTGCATTTGCAATTCCTGATTCGCAGTCATCATGCTGATGTTTATTTAAAAAAAATCAAGGATGCCATATGTGTTTCAATTTGCCACACTGCCACTATCATTGCGACTACTTTCATGCATTCCAGGACAACTAGTGATCCACTTGTGAGGTATGCATTTATTTTTAGGATTTTTTAAAGCGTTTTTCTATTTTTGATATTTAAAATTTTAATTTATTTTTTAATTTGAAGTATAATACATAATTTGTGCGGGAATGCACCGCACGGAAAGATTCGAGTGAGAGAACGGCACACGGTTGATATAATACACGAGTATAGTAAAGAGCGCGGCGCTCGCGTGCGCGAATTGAATTGTTCTAGAACTTTCGATTGTCCGTTGCCGGTGCCTGTTTGTGTGTACCGAATTGTTTTGAAAAGACTAAAGAACGACGAATCCCTGACTTTGACGAAGCTTAAGGTCAGGCTCGAGATGAAATCACGAGCTCACCTTATGCGTGCGTTCAATAACAATTACTGTCGGTCGATCGAAAGAGTTCTTACTTTTTTTCCGAATTACCGATCTCAAACATAATTGGTATTTTTTATTAAACTAAATATTTGTCAAACTATATATAATAATATGGATAGATCTTTTACAAACTAAATATGTGCAATAATTAAATTTCATGTGATTTATCCTTTGAAACTTGTTCCAGATGGTCTGTTATGGTAGCTGCCTTGGCCTTGGAGTGGCTGCAATGGGTTCGCATAGACAAGACCTTTATGAAGAATTAAGATCAAATTTGTATAAAAATGACGTCGTGACTGATAAAGCGGCTAGAATCGCTACGGAAATGGTTATACTGAGGTCCAATTCAACGCATGTGATCAAAGATAAGTTTAATGCACATTTTTCATAGCATTCTTTTATTTGTTGCATAATTTTTTTATATTTAAACATGAAAAATTTCTGAGATATTTCTAAAAACTTATGATGCTGTATAGGATCTAGTAATTTTATCAAACTAATTTAGCTATCGATAAATTATATTGAACTTTGTTGTTATTAACGATGATCATTGTTTTTTACATTCGTAATCTATAAACATCATTTAATGCTCGTTTCCCTTTTACCTAATGAATTTCATGTGTTGCGAATATAAGGCTTTACAATTTCGATTATTTTTACTGTTCTGACAGTACGGTTTTACATTTCAACGCACGAGAGTTCGTTAGGTCAAAGGGAAACTAGCAGCATCAAACTAACTACTATAAAATATTATAACTACTTATTCCAACACAGACCCTTATGCATGTTAAGACATACAATTGGTGTAAAGAAAAAAACTTACCTTTTTAAAAAAAATAAAAAAGCGCTAAGATGTGCTTATCGAAGAAAACTATTGTATCAAATTATAAAATCCAAATGACTATTATATCAAATTAAAAGATAGAATCCATATAGTACTATTTTTGTTACTTTAATAATATGTATCATTTGAATAAAAGATTTGGTATCAAAAATTGGCGCGAAGTTAAATCCTGTACCAAATTAAATAAAAAATAAAATGATACTATGTTTAATTTTTATACAATGAAATCTAAATATTGTATATATATATATATATATATATATATCTTTGTATTCCTATTGAAGGATTTTCTTATTCCAATTTTCAAACACTACGATAACATTTAAATTGCGCAAGGTAACGCAACTTTGTGATAATGTATTGAAGAAGAATTAAATAACTATTACTTTAACTTCGGATGGAAGAGAAAATTTCTTTGATTGTGATACAATAATTTCTTTTAAAAAGAAAAAGAGCTATTTGGAATTGGAAAACCTTCAATAAGAATACAAAGAGATATAGAGTTTACTTAGGCTTCATTGTATAAAAATTAAAAATAGTATCACTTGATAGATATACATTTTTTATTTAATTTTGTATGAAATTTAACTTGATGGCATCAGTTGTTGATACCAAATTTTTTTATGCAAATGTACATTTGTATGATGACAACTCTATATCATTAGAATTATTAAATAAATAATAAGAATAGTACTTGGATTCTTTTAATTCAGTATACAATAAAAATAGTATTGAATACAATAAAGATAACACTTGAGTTTTACAATTTGGTACAATAGTTTTTTTCGATGAACACATACGTCTTTTATTAGCGCTTTTTTATTTTCTTTAAAAAGCTAAGTTTTTATCTTTACATATATATCGATAAAAAATGTTTCATACATGAATATGTATAAATATGTATAAACATACATAAATATTCATAAACATGTTGTATAATCATATATGAAATATGTCCATACATACACAGTGCGACAAATATGTTCTCGGGCAGGGCCTGAAAATCATAATTGAAACAACAATATGCATATTTTTTGGTTTTATTATTCAAAATATTCTCCTCTGGCTTCAATACACTTGTTACAGCGATTCAATAGTGATTCAAATGCATGTTCTCAGTTTGCGGAATTGCTTCTAGTGCCTGTGTAGAAACTGATTGGATGGTCGGAATGTCATCAAAAAAGCGTCCTTTCAATTTCAATTTCAATTTTGAGAAGTCGCAGGGGGCTAAATCAGGTGAATACGGTGGATGGTTTAACACAGAGACACGATTTCGAGCCAAACATTGACGGACAATCAATGAAGTGTGACTCGGTGCATTATCATGCAACAAAGACCAATTTTCTGGATCACGATAATCGGGGCGAATTCTGCCCATCAATCGCTTTAAAACTTCGAGATAATATGCACCAGTAATTGTTTGGCCAGTTAGAACAAACTCTTTGTGGATAATACCTTTGCTATCAAAGAATGTGATGAGCATTGTCTTGATTTTTGATGGAACTTTTCGTACTTTTTTTGCTTGTGGTGAATTTTTTGACTTCCATTCCGCACTTTGACGCTTAGTTTCTGGATCATATTGAAAGCACTATGTTTCATCACCCGTAATAATTGATTTTAGGAAGTTTGGATTATTTTCTGCGGCTTATTTGCTGCAACGATGTCTCTGGAATAATTGATTTTTGATCGCTTCTTAATGTGTGTGAAACAAACTTCGCACAAACCTTCGTTTTACCCAAATCTTCATGTAATATGGTTCGAATCGTTTCTCTACTGATATTTAAAGCCTCCTCCATCATTTTTAGTGATGCATTGCGATCGTTTGCAACAAAATCATTATTTTTTCGATCATTTCGGGTGTTCGAACCAAAATTGGCCGTCCTGACTTTTTGTCATCTTCAAGGATCTCTCTGCCTTCCAAAAAACGCTTATGCCACTCAAAAACAGCTGTACGACCTAGACATTGACTGCCATAAACTTGTTGCATCGATCGGAATGTTTCTGATGCACTTTTACCAAGTTTTGCGTTAAATTTAATCACTGCTCTTTGTTCCATATTAAAATTTCTACTTCGACCAAAATCTTGTTTAACATGAACTGTCATATCTTCGTTATATGTCAACCAAAATGAATGAAACTTTGACAGATGATAGCAAAATGTTCAACCTTTAAAATGCATGTTTGAACGCACAGATGTCGCCACTGGTTACTGAGATGTGTTCGTGTCCAGGAACATATTTGTCGCACTGTGTATTCATACATCCCTCTCTTTTTTTATAAATTTATTTTTTAGTGTAATAATAGAAATAATAATAGTAATGTGAAAACATAAAAAATAATTAAAGGGATAATTTTCGCATTGTTTGTTTTAGGAAAAAAACAAGTTAGGAAAAAATGTAAAAAAATTGCTTATATACAATTGTGCATAGTTTTTAATGTATACATACAATTATATATAAGTAATTTTTAAAATTTCTTTAAACTTGATTTTTTTCTAAAACAAATAATGTGAAAATTATTCTTTTAATTATTTTTTATGTTTTCATATTACTATTATTATTTCTGTTACACTGAAAAGTAATTTTACAAAAGAAAGAGGAATATATGAATATGTATATGGATATATTTCATACAAGATTATACATCTTTATAAATATTTATGTATGTTTATACATATTTATACATATTCATACATGAACAATTTTTTACCGGAAATTAACTTTTACTCAGTAATTTTATTTGATCGTCCTCTTTCGTCTAATCGCATTCTTTTTTGCAATATTAATTTTTTCTTGGTTTGAATTTGCCCCTCAAATTTTATTATGTTACAAAGCTTTTTTTACGTTTTTAATAATAAAAGCTAGCTTTCTTACAATCCTTTATTCTAAATATTAAAATTTTTTTCATATTTTCTGATTGAAGAGAAATTTCCATGACCAAAATATGTAAAATAAAATATGTAAAAATTTTTATATTTTACATTGGTCATGGAAATTTCTCTTTTTTATCTGGAAAAGTCAGGAAATTTTAAAATTCATTTTTTTCTGTCGCAACCCTGTCATAATTATATATATCTAACACACTGTTATGGCTTATTTCGAGCTATTATATAATGAAATTAAAATTAATATAATTGAACAGACGTTTCGGCTTACAAAACCTTCTTCAGTATCGCAACGCAGAAATATAATCTCACATTAACGAATAACGGATACAAATTAATACAAAATTTAAAAACCTTTAATGGTGAAATGTCAAAATATAAAAAAAGAAAAGAATATGAAAAAATATAAAAAAAAATAGAAAAATTCGCACATCAATAAGTATCCCGCCTGATGACAAAAAGCTAGGAACATTTGAATATTTCAATCAACAGTAGATCAATTATGTTCATCAATAAAAATAGATTTGCCAAATTTCTCGGTTGAGATCGAGAATCCAGTTTGTCACAGATTTGTATCAAATAATTTAAGAATTCTTTCATTACAAGTATTTTATGATATTGGTAATTTATATAAAATACTGTAATCTAAATTCTTCAAGAAAGATTCGGTTAACACAATAAAGACATTGCAAACTTTTTTTTATATTTATAAAAATATATATATATATATTTTTTTGATTTTTTGAAGGTTTCTTTTTCTCTTTATTTTTTTCACCTCTCTCGTATGTTGAGACTAAATATTTAATTAATGAGGATTTACATAAGCTAAGCATGATTCATGTTTGTCGTGTGTAAATGAGCTTGATAAAATAGATTAAACAAACGATTGATTCGACCAAGACATGACTGAAACTTATTTACATTTTGTATGGGAACACTCTGCAAGTGTAACTTGTCCTTACAACGTGATTCTGTAAAATATAGATTTACTGCAGCTCTATTACAGTTGTTGAACTGTAAAAATATGCATCCAAACATTTTTTTTAAGTTGTATCGAAGGATTCATCTATAAGAAGAATCTTCTTATTAGATTTTTTGTAAGCAGTTGATGATTTGAAGTCGATGCTATTGCATTTCATTACGTAGCATTTTTTCCATTTTTTATTATTATACTTTTTATTAAAAGTCACTTTTAGTTATTTTTTTCAAATTTGGTCATTTTTCGCCCTCGTATATTGAGTCTAAATATTTAATTAATAAGGATTTACGTAAGCCAGCAGCAATTCGAGTTTGTTATATAAATAATCGAGATGAATTATATTAAAAACACTATTGTTTGATTGACCAAGACATGACTATAACTTACATTTACATTTTGTATTATGCAGGTGTGTAACGTGTCCTTGCAATATGATTCTGTAAAATCTAGGTGTACTGCACCTCTATTACAGTTATTGTAAGTGTAGAAATACATATCGACATTTATTTATTTATTTATTTTCGCCTATAACAAAGATTCGTCTATAACAAGAATCTTCTTATTAGATTTTTTGTAAGCAGTTGATGTTTTGAAGTCGATGCTATTGTATTTCATTACGTGGCATTTTTTCAATTTTTTATTACTTTTTATTAAAGGTCACTTTTAGTTACTTTTT